CCTCCCGTCGTGTGTGTGTGTGTGTGTGTGTGTGTGTGTGTGTGTGTACCCCTTCACACCGACAGCTCCTCTTGGATTCAATTCACCGCTGCGCGGATTTACCCCCCGTTCGCTGTGGAGACATTGCTGGCAAGTACTCAACCTCTCTTCCTATCATTGCATATGAAGCTTAGTTCACTTATACCAAACCGTCCATCTAAATCATCTAATAATACCTGTAGATTTTACAACTCCCACCGAACAGCAACAATCGTAGGCCCACCCAACCCAACCCACCCGAAACAGTTGTTGAACGAGGTTCCTTTTCGGTATATACGTCCATTGTTCTTCGGGCCCCCATTACAATTCGAAGCGCCGCGATATCCATCCAGCTTGGGCTGGGCATTATGATTGATTGCCTTTGCTCTGGCCCGCTCGCACTCCAATTGCTCAAGGCGAAACCATGGTTTTGTTTGGGTTGGTTACCTGGGTTGGTCGATGGTCACAGTACTTCTTTTCTCCGCTTATTTTCGTCTCTTGTATAGTATACATAACCCATCCACAAGGCATTGTTTTCTCCCCCAAATTCCGTCGTTTCCGTTCTCCCCCTCTTCCAGCGTCGTTCAACGACGCCGAAAATGGCAGCAAGCCATTTGATCATAGGTACATTGATCCAGAGTGTTTTATACGGGATATAGATATATGTATAGATATAGAAATATAGTTGCTCTCTATATTCCCACTACAAAGCACACTATCTTACACTCCTTTCCGAAGCTGATCTCAACTCATATTGTTGTGATAAAAAATAGATTCTATTGTTATTTTGTATTCCAACAAGATCTAACCCGGGCACTAGTTATCACGCTGTTGGCTGTATTTACTATGCGACTTGGCAAGTTGGAAGGTTGGAAGAAATCTACGTGTCCGGGGAGGGAAGGTCACTCGAAGAAGAAGCACAACTTGGCCTGGCATTTTTAGACCATATCTGATTTACAAATGTGGATGAAAAAGGGTTACCGGTACACATGACTTGAAGAGCAAAATATGCTGGGTGTATGTAAAAAAAAACAAGACAGCTAATTCATGATTTCGAGATTGGGCGAACGCGGAAATGAACTGTGTGCAGAGCACAAGCCACAGGGGCAGAGATGAATTAGGTAAGAGATTTAGAGAAATACAGCGCAGCAAGTCTGGTCGGGAAGAGACAAAAGGCAAGAACAAGATCAAGAAACTCCATGGATCGTTAACGTTATTTGGCAATCTTGTTTGGTATTGGTGTACTAGCGTTATGGTTTATTTTCCTTGGTGTTGTGTGGTGGTAATTCATGGAAGTGGGATTGAGGAACGGGAACGGGAACGGGGGGAGTCGTGATAGTAGCTAGCTGGAGTAAGCCTAAGCCTAAGCCTAGAGAACCTGCTTGCGCTGATCAAGCCAGAACCCGACCCGAGCTTAGTTATTGCTCTGGCTGTTCAAGATGCGCAGAATGGCGAGGAACAAGTTCAAGATGTCGAGGTAGAGGGAGATGGAGGCGGCAATCTCCTCCTCGACGTGGTAGTGGCGCATGACGAGCTGGGTGTCGACGAGGATGTAGCCGGCGAAGACGAGGGCGGCGACGCCGCCGTAGACGAGCTCGACGGTGCTGTTGCCGGGGAAGAACATGGCCATGAAGCCGAAGAGGACCAAGAACCACAGCGCGCCGAACAGGTAGGGCATCCAGTGCGTGAAGTCGTACTTGGTCTGGCACGCGAACAGCGTCAGGGCGACGAACAGGCCCAGCGTGATCACCAGCGCCTGCAGCACGATCCGGCTCTCGTACAACGACGTCACCACGCTGATCGAGTAGGCCTCCATGATCGTGAAGCCCGACAGGAACAGCAAATTGGCCGGGTACGACTTGCGCTTCCAGTAGGTCACCAGCATGAAGCCCAGCGCCCCGAACACCGACAGGATCATCACCCAGAAATTGGACTGGATCCAGTTCCGGTAGCTGGGACTGAAGAAGGAGATCGAGCTCATCACCGTCGTGAGGAGGAGTTGCACCGTCCTGAATTCCAGAGAAAGAAAATGGTTAGGCTGGCTACACTCCGGTTCGAGATATATCGGGAGAGACACTCACAGGATCGCATAGACCTTGCGGATAAACTGCATACGAATGGGCAGGGTGCCCTCCGCCACAGTGCCGCCAAACTGCATCACATCCTGTCAATCTAGATCTGGAAAAGTGTGGGACGGAAGCTTTACCTTGAAGTCATCGGGAACATTATCGTCTTCGCTGCGAGGCGCCGCCTGTGTATAATCGGCAGTTGCCTGATAAGAGGGCGGGGGCTGAGTGTAAGCACGCTCTTCAAAAGAGTCGCGCTGCGGTGCGGGCTCATATCTAGTATTGGCAGCCATTTTGCTCTCAGGATAGCTTCTATGGAGTAGTGAGAAGACCAATCCAGAGAGAACGAGATGGTTAATGCTTTAAATCTCACGGCTGACAGGAAGACGGGGGGGCGAAGTGAAGTGGAGAGAGAAGGGTCGAGAACGCGGGCGGAGATACCGCCTTTCGGAAGCCGCGTGACGTCGTTCCGTCACCTGATTTCCCTTTTTCGCTCTACTGAGCCTTAGGCAGAACATTTACTCTTCAAGTACAACTAGCAAGGAGTTTCAGGCACAGGAACCCAAGGCTAATGCGCGAACTCGCAGCATCGTAAATTATGATCATCTATTATATGCGAGATTATGTATAGATTCTATCCTCTAATATATGCCATGAATGCAGATATCCTATCGCTAGGACTTGAATGCGCGGCCCCGACCAGCTCAGAGGCTGTTACTCCCGGTCGTCGTCATCATCTCGATACTCCTCCACTATCACATTTCCACCCTCTGACGACGGCCGCGAGCCTTCGTCCTCATCTGTACTATCTTCCGGCGTATCCAGGCCCTCCCGGGTTATCGAAGCGCTATGCAACTCTCCAGGACGCCTCTTACGCTGGAAGTCTTGGGCGTGGGCCGCAGCCAACAAGGTACCAACCCGGGCAAGACCACGTGGGCTCCGGACTGACAAGCCTGGAGTGGGTGGGGTTCCTTGCTCGGCGTCGCCAATGGTAGGCACGGGCGCCAGAGGTTGATGGTCTTGAAGCTGCATAGCCTCCTCTGGCTGAGCCGACGGAGCCTGTGGTTTGGGAACTTCGTATGGTAGGGGAACGTCCCTGGATGCTCGGAAGAGAAGAACGTTGGTGCAGTGCTCGTTCTCCACACGGAAGATCGTCCACACCCCTCTGCGGCCTACCTCTGAAAGTGCAACAGCGAAACTGAGGACAGCCGAATGCTGAATGTCTTTGCGGAAAATCGCATAGAAGATCCAGTTAAAGCGGACAACGACATCGATGACCATCCCAACATAATACACCCACGGCTTCCGGAAGGCGAGCACCTCGCGAAGCATTGGGTTCTTCGCGTGAGGGTTTCCCAGACTCCAATCCATGGCGAGATCCCAGACGGAGCAGTAGACAGCATTCAGCAACGCAAACGTGATGAACGGAGCCTCAAAGCTCGAGACCCTGTCGATGCGGTAGAGACTCAGGGTACAATAGTAGAGGACAGTGAACATGTATTTGCCGAAGTTGAGCAAGTGAGGAAAGGCGTTCCTCGTGTCGGCATATCGACGTAAGCACTGAAGAGCTCTCCAGATTCCTGGAAGGCACGTGAAGAACCCCAACAAGCGGGAGTGAGAGGAGTTACACTGCTGAGGGTCACTCCAGTGTTTCGCATAGAGACAGAAGAACAATTCAATATTCTAAGATCGGATTAACAACCACTGCCAGAGTTCATGCAACAATCGAGTGATACTCACGCCCATGGCGTACGTCTGCGAGCAGTACATATCACCGAGAAAGAAGTCACGAAACTCGACGGGGTATAAACCAGCCAACAAAAGCCGCCACTACCATGCGTAGTTAGTTTTCAGCTGCGGTATGTCAACTAGAGCACGACTCACATTGGAATATGCCCACCACTTTCGACTGTGGTGGTATAATGTGCGCACTGGCAAGAACAGAACTATCACCGTCACACCTATCAGAACGACAGGCCAATAGATATATGCGTCATTGATAATCATGAAGTTCAGCCACATGAAGAGACCTAGTATGAACAAGAAGAAACTCGGTAACTGCAGTCGCGTCAACATCAAGCAATCCACATGGTGAAATAGAAGCTCTGACCTCAGTTAATTGCCGCCAGTCTAATGCGTGTCTGGTGTCGAACTCGAAAACGAAGACGTAGTTTATCTTGGCCTTCGTCCAGACCATGCAGTCCAAGCAAAATAGGAGAAAATGCAGAACGATGAGGAAATAACCACCGTAGATCTATTGCGGTTAGGTAACCCAAGAACTCGCGTACGAGGCATGCAAGACCAACCTGGAGCAAGTAGCTTGTATTCAGCTTCACTTCGGAATCGTCATTATTCAGATTACGGCTAGCATAAACCAATGCCTGGGCTGCAAACAGGATGCCAGCCATCAACAGGAGACCAGAACGGAATGTGTTCGGCGAGTAGTCTCCAGCCTTGTTGACTGTATGGCGCAACTTCGAGGCGGCAATCTTGCGGTTCCCGCGCTCAAAATAACGTGCGTAGAGGTCCTCTGCCGCCGACAACAAATGCTCCGTAACCTCACTCTGAACGAACCACGCCTTATTGACCTTCTCAGAGAGGTATCTCATCGGGGGATGCGCATTGACAACCTTGTCATATTTCTTGTTAATCTTCCGGAAAGCGGTTCGGTTCAGATAGGCGTATGCCTTCAACAACTCCACGCCACGATAGAATTCTTGAAGCGCATGTTTAAGCTTTCTTTTGGCGGAGCGATACGGAACCTCGGCGTTGTTGGACTCTTCCGGCCGTCGTGCGAAATCTCTCCGCGTGATGGTGTTCGGTAGGTCTTGCGCTTGTCCGACCGGCGTTGCCAACTCTGCCAGGGCCTTCGAATTTTTCCCAAAATGACGTCCCGGGAAAGCATCCTTGATTTTGGCGAATCCGCCAAAGCCGTTTGCCTGCGCATTGTCCTTCTTGAGCCCACCGTTCTTCGTTTTCCCAAGCACTTCTTGGGTGCGCTGGTCCCGCATGATATGCAGCTGGCTTCGGAGCACCTTCAAACGCTCCGCCGCTTCTTGTTCTTTCATCTGATAGAACGAATCTATCTTGGCTAGCTCGCCATCAAGAAAAGCGAAGAACTCATCCTGCCGCTTGGCGATTTCCGATGTCGACGTATCAGTGGTGTCGCGCTTCTCGGGGGCATTCCAATCCGGGTAAGACAGCACCCGCTGCAGTAGGGAGCCTCTACGGTTCGACGGGCCTGCACCCGTGTTCCTCTTATAATCCTTTATACCACCAGCAGCGGGTTGTGGCGTCGAGGGGCTCCGGCGCGATCTGGCAGGCGTAGCTGGTCGCAAGCTTTCGTATCGCGATAAAATCGGAGACGGGCTTTCGGGGCGGTGGTCGTCTGTATCATCCTCTCTTTCTGGCGACGAGAACTCAACCTCCTTAGGATCAATTGCTGGATCCGGCAACCGCAGCGAGGCTACATCCGACGACGCAGCCTGCTGTGATGGCGGAGTGGCGACAATACTGCCATACGTGCCGACCACGCCTGAGAAGCGCGATCCAGGGGCCCGGAGGGGCTGACGTTCACTGCGCGCCGACGTTGAGCGCGGTGTCAAGCCATTACTTCGCACCGGCGTGGAGGGAACCTGGAGGGTGTCCTGGGCCAAATCGTGTCGGCTTTCGCTTCGAAACGACGAGCGGGGATCCGAACTCAGCAGGCGATCGGACTGGTCATGTTGGGGGTAGGAGAAATTGCGGATGGACGGATGGCTAGGGCTGCGATTGGCTTTCTGCAGGGCGCGCGAGATGGCTTTGACTTTCTTTTTGCCGGTCTGTCGTCCCCCAGCGTCACACAATGATGAGAATCGAAACCACAAGCGCCCCCGTCTATGGGAGCAAGCACTGGGGAAGCACCAACCTTGTAGTCGAGATATTTAGCTCGCCATTCTGGAACTAATTCGTGTTCCAGCTCCCTGTCGCCAATGACTGGGTCAGCAAAGCCTCACAGGAAACAAGCATTCCGGAGCAATGGTGGGTTGGGTGAGAGTGGGACACACTTGGCGAATTTCATGCTGGGAAGGCAAAGGCATGAGCGAGCATAATACGGTTGACAAAAAAATTACAGCAGATACCCAGGAAGATTTATGACGCAGAAAGTGCCATCACAGTGGCAACAAAGATGAAGCAGAAGAATGGTGGAGCAAGTTGACAGGGAATCTGGTATCCGAGGATCAATCGATAAGGGCTCCAATAGTTCGTAGGCTTCGTAATCTCATTGCACAGGGCGATTGAAAGTAGCTCAAGACAACGATCAGTTCAACCTTGGGCCAAGAAGGTAGAACAAGCACACGATTCTCCAATATAGGACGAGGGGAAAGAGGGGAGGGGAGTAAAGAGACAGAGTAAAAAAAACAATGGAAGATAGAAATAGAATGTCACAGTGGAACGGAGGGCGGAGGTAGAAGCAGATAAGAATGGAAGAAGGAAAATACGAGTAAGTTTAAATGTGGAAAACCAGAAGTAAAAATGCGAGAAATAGGTCAAAAGCGAGACCAGAGGCAAGCTACCACAGGTTCACTAACACCCGTCATAGCGAGACAAAGAGCCGAATGACTGACTGACTGACTGACAGACCGACAGAGAGCGAAGCGAGCAAGATACCTGATTTCATGGATCGAAATTGGTGAGGAACGAGTGAACCTTCTTTCTTGCCTAGATTGACCGTCTATCGTAGCCTGATAGGCTTGGGTTCATGCACGTGCAGCAGCCGATGAGCTCATTTGCAGGAGCCTTGGCAGGGCGGTGAGCTGCGAATCTCAGTCATTGGCTGCTCTGTCATACCGGACAAAGTATCCCCATAAAGTAAGAGGTTTGCCGCGCATACACGGTGGTTGCTGCTCGTATACTCCCTCTCCACTACTCACAGTCCCATGGATGTCCTTGACAGCTTCGCGTTTCGTTCCTCATGATTGGAATTCCCTTGTCAGGGCCCTTGGAGAGATTCATGGAATCTGTCAACATGCGAAAACAAAAAAAAAAGGTTTACCCAGAGTGGAATTGAGAAGCCGGAAAAGCTATCCCAAAACTGCCCCTCTCTCCCGCAGGAAACTATCTATCTTCATACAGGAACCGAAAATAGGCGCACACACTCTTCCCGACGATCCTTGCTTGCCGTCAGTCGCAATCACTCCGTGATAATCCGCGTTACTTGCCCGATTGGGTGGAATCCTACATACTGGCCATGCAGTTTGCGGTGGGCGTTTCAGCCTGCCCAGCGCCCAGCGTTTGACCTTCATAACTCTTGCATCGGGTTGCGATTCATCATTACGACTGTTTTGTTTTGGTTCCTACTCTTCCAGACCGACTCTCATCATTCGATGATAGCTCACCTGACTCTCCGCCATACCGTACAAATCATATACCCGCGAGAGGGCTCCAATCCACAGGCCACGTCGCATGCAGAGGACCACGATTCAGAATCAGAAAAAAAAAACAATTATGAGAAATATTTTTCATTGGGAACACAAATCATCGGTATCATATCAACACACCCCCGGTCGACAAGTTCAGATCCAGTCTATCCCTTATCGCACTAGAGCTTAGTACCAGCCACAGCCTTTACCAGCGGCCCTGGTCAGGGAAGCGGCCCTCGTCACGGAAGTGGGGGGGAGGAGGAAGGCGAGGGTCGTATTCGGGAGCGCCGTGACCGCGCTCGTAGTGCTCCTCGTACATCTGGTGGGCGTTCTCCTGGGCGTGCTTCTTGGCACGGATCTTGTCGACCTCATCCATACCCTTGGTCTCGGCAAGTCTGTCAATCTGAGAACCGACGATGCCAGCAAGAAGCTCCTTGGCGAAAGCGTGGCTAACGGGCTTGCCTGGTGGATATCATGGCGGTTAGCGTGGCTGTCTGACACAGGAAAGGGGGATGTAGTGAGACGAGGGAGAAAGCATACCCTCCTTGCGCTGGTGGTCCTCGAAGAGCTTCATGCCCTCGAAGGAAGCGGCACCGGCCAGAAGCTCGTGGGAGAACTTGGCCTCGTGGTGCTGCTCGCCGTTGTAGACCTGACGGTGAGCCTCGTTGGATTCGTCTGCAAGGCAAACGTGGTTAGTTGTGTTACAAACATGTCCATCCGATGCAGGTTACGGAAGTCAAACTGGGCAAGTAACAGGACAGGGATAATCCCGCGATGCATCCAGATGAGGGTTAGCAGCTGCTGCATAGGAGTAACTTACCCCAGCCCCAAGCCATTGTGATTGATGTGTAATGTGTGAAGAGGGTGTTTGAGAAGGAGGAAAGATGGTGTGTGTGAACGGAGAGAGAAAAAGAAAGGCAAGAAGCAGGACGATGGACGACTTATATACAGCCAGCTGTGCCTCAGCCAGCCCACCTCAACTAATTCAGCTCTCGTCGGCTAGGTACCCCTCCGCGCCCCCTGACCCACTGCTGTCGTGAAGACCAATATAGCTGCAAGTCTGCAAAACTCTCAATGCCTTGTGGGGGAAGGGATCATTGGCTGAATGGCAATGCTCTGGTGTGGCCCCTCCAAGGTGGGGTGGATGGAAGGCAGATCACTCCCAGTCGTTGGTCCCCGCGCCACGTTGGTCATCATTTCACAAATTCACCTCAGCGCCTCGGAGGGGCAGCGTAAGCATAGCAGCTTTAGTGCCGTCTGTGTGTGTAAGCGCTTCTCTGAAGGCTGTCTGAGAGAATCAGGCTATTGGCTGCATCGGACAGCATACAGTCAGTCCGGAGGGGTCGGATCGCATGGAGTGAGCCTCCCGGGTTACGGAGGTACGCTGTGCTCGGAAATCCGCCAGGGGTACTTTCCGTACAGCTGGGGACACGGTGGGCTTGTCTGTGAGCTGAAACATGGGTCCCAATGATAGGAGGCCGAGGGTACAACAATGGCGTAGCCTAGACAATAGACAGTCGCCAGAGAAGAGGGGCGGACAGAATCATGACCCCTCCTCGTCCGTTGGTTCCGCCTGCGCCTCTGAAAATAGAGAGAGATGGCCATGCCAATGCGGGACTAGCTGACTGATTCGCAAAATTTCACTTTTCCAGACCCTTCTTGTGTGCCTACGTTCTAGGGAATAGCGATTGTCAAGGATCATCGCCTCGAAAATACGTACGCGTCCCATAATTCCCATGATTCCCATGGGTAAGACGGGCGACACCGCTGGGGGGCCAAGATGCAGATGGGGATTGCCTCAGCCTTAAACTCTGGGTGAGTTCCATCCGGCTGTGGATTTAGCGCCTCGGCCACAACACTCGCCCGGGCTTGGCGAGGATTGAGGAGGAAAGCCGGCTGAACCGAAGGAACACTGTGCGCCAAGAAGCTCTTGTCAAGGCTTATCCTCTGCCCTATCTTGTGCAACTCGAATGGCCCAAGTCAAGAGCTGGCCTGGATATCAAATCTAATCTTCCCCAGATCTACACATATGCAGATTAGGCTGGTACGTAGTGTCTGGCCTTGCCAGGCGGGTAAATCTGGAAATGTCATGTTTTTTGGGCACGCGCAATGCTGCACGAAGTGGAGCATGCTCGGGGTTAATGGTTGGCTATGCGAGGTCCGAAAGTGATCGTTATCCCCACAGCTACTTGCCCGATTGATTCTACCGAAGGCTCCGCAATGTTCGATAGCCTGAGACCGGAAGTCCTGTAGCGTCCTTTTGGAGTTCGCATCAGTCGGTTGTTATGACCTCTGAATCAGTGGCTTGGAGGGGGGGGGGGGGGAGGGGGGCTGGTGTGTGGCAGTGTCGGAATGTGGCTTGGGTCCAGTGGACGAGGCGAGCAAAGACATTACGTATTGCTTCAGCTGGAGAATGTGAATCATGCCCATCATTGTTACAGTCGGAGCACAGTTGTCCAGACGGTTGCTCTTGGCCTCGTTTCAGTGTGCATGGGATGGGGACGTCATGCCATGCCAGACAGGAGCCGTATCGAGCATGGAGAATCAACGATCATTCTCCGTTCCATCATGTCATTGTTCGATAGTCGGTCAGGTCATGATAGACCAGTCATGGGAAATCTGCGATTCCAAACTGCGATCAACCCCGAGTGTGAGCATGAGTATGAGCATGTTGAAAAAACACCTCGTGTCATAATGCAAACAACCTCTTGCATGACGATAGTAAACAGTAGCGCAGCAGCAGCAGCAGCAGCATATGCATGACAGCCAGCCGACTAACCCGAAAGCGGCAATTACCTGCCCGCCCGCGACCCGGCGCAGACATGAGCTTTCCGCTGCAAGCTCTCCGTCCTCACCTCCCTTCCATCAAACACCTCAATCAACAAGACCACCATCCCACAACCCACAAAACAACAAGCAAACAACCCCTAGAACAAACAAACAACCAAGCAGCAATCCACAACCAACAATGACCACCCCAGCCCCAACCCCAACCCAAAATCCTCTCCCCCCGCGCCCCCCAAAAAACCGACTTCCCCTCCCACCTCACCCTAACAATCACCCACCCCACGCCCCCCAGCACCTCCCAAAAATCCCCCAACATCCTCCTCCTTCTGCACGGCCTCGGCGACACCGCCGCCAACTTCACCGCCTTCGCGCGCGCCCTTCACCTCCCCGAAACCACCATCCTCACCCTTCAAGCCCCGCAGCCCCTCCCCTTCGACCTGGGCGGCTACCACTGGGGCGACGACGTGACCTTCACGCCGGCGGGGGAGCTGGACATGGACGCCGGGTTCACGCGGGCGGTGCGCCTGATCGTCCACGAGGTGATTGCGGGGGTTCTGGTCCGGAAGTGCGGGTATCGGTGGCGGGATGTGTTGGTGTTTGGGTTGGGGCAGGGCGGGATGGTGGGGTTGGAGGTTGCTGCTGCTGCTGCTGCTGGTGGTTCTAGGGGAGAAGGTGAGAGTAGCGGGGCGTTGGGATCTTCTACGCAGCAGAACGGTAATGATCGGTGGTTGGCAGGGGTGGTTTCGATCGGGGCCCCGTTTCCATTATCCGCGGTCAAGAATACAACAAGCCAGAAAAATCGGACGCCGGTGTTGGTGGTTGCGGGGAGGGATTCGGTGGCTGTGACGGATAGTGCGGTGCGCAGGACGAAGGATTGGTTTGAGTTTGTCGAGGTTCATCGGTATGCTCGGCGTGGGGATGGGATGCCCAGGAATCGAGACGAGATGTTGCCCGTCATGCAGTTCTTGGCCAGGAGGTTGAAAAGTTGGAAGGGCGTGCCCGAGGGCAGTGTGGAGATCTCATGAAGACAAGAAAAGTACGGATGGGATGCTATACGATATTCATTTTTTGTTGATTCATAGTGGTACAGTACATACAGGGTGAAAGTCTAGGGTGTATCTAGTCGACCTCCTCGAGAGCTTTGCGCGCTCGATCGATGGCCTGTCGAGTCTCAAGGGGAGACACAGGGACCTCCTCCTCCACGGGGCGTCTGCCTCGCTGCACAATGCCACGGAGTTGGTCCTCTGTCTCGAGCAGAGCCGTGCGGCCGTCCTCACGGGCCTCGTTCTCGAACCAGGTCCGCGCGCTTTCCCACTTGCGCTGCTGGCGGCGCAGCGAGTAGATCAGACCAACCGCTGCCATCGTGCAGGTCTCGTACACAGACGCAGCAGGCCAGGAGAGATAGGTCAGGATCGACAGCGCCGAGGATAGAGTGGTTGTGGACATGCTGAACAGCACGAGTCGCTGCGCCAGCGCCTGCAGTGCCGGCGCCGTCGTCTCGACCAGCTTGGCCCGTCGGGTGGATATCTGAGTCGGCCATGATGGTTCCTCGGTCGGACTGGATCCCGGAGTGGTTTCCACCAGTCCGGCCTGCTGGAACCGGCCAGCCGTCCAGATGACCTCCCTCTCAGCCTGACGCAGAAACTTGCGATCCAGGATCTCCCCGGTGATCATGCCCACGTCATCCACGCGCCAGAAGAGCTTCCACCACGCAAGACCCTTCCACGGCTTGCTGGCGAACCCTTCTTCCAGTGCGCCGCGGAGCTCCGTGTGCGCCTTTTCCGCCCACTCCGACACGGAACGATCCAACCCATTCCTCACCTCCACCGGCACCATGCCCAGTTCTTGCTCCTGGATCCTCTGTGTCTCCTCCGCGACGACACCAGCCTCTGCCGCATCCAGTAGCGACGTGATCAGGCTGCGCAGCGAGGGATCCAGCGTACTGCCCGCCTCCGCCCGCAGCGCGGTCAGCCAATTAACCACTGGCTGCACACCACTGCTGTTCCACCCGCGTTCGTAGAGCGAGGCGTTCTGCACTGACTCACGGAACGTGGCCAACGCCTCGTCCGCCTTATCGATGTCGACAAACGCGACCCGTCCATTGCTGTACTTCTCCGGTTTGGTCACTGGCAGCTCGATCGCGCCGTAGACCGACCGCGCCTCGTTCTTGAGATCCGAACGGGCCATCAGCCCGCTGTACGCCAGAAATCCGTCGACGCCGCTGCCGCACACAATGCTTCGGTGCACCGGGTACCGCACCATATTGTGCCGGCCCGAATGCGAGGTCTGAATCGTCACCGTCGGCACCAGGAACGTATCGGCTGTGAACTTGGCATCTGCACGGGTATCCGCGCCCAGGCTGGTAATCAGGATCTCCAGGTTGCCTTTCTTCAGGATCGGCGAGGGAACCGAGATGGTCGGGAGGAGATCATTGGGTATGCTCTGCGAAACTGGACCGTAACTGTTTTCATCGCAGGATGCGATAGTTAGCATGCTATTCCTTTCCTGTTCATGGTATATTCTTTAGAGAGCCAACCCACCGGATCAAGAGTCCTCTCTCCAAACCTCCCGCCCCCGCACCCATTTCCTCCAACAAGTCCTCCCAGCTTTCCTTTCCGTTCAGGGGGTCTGCCAGCAGCAGTTTCACTAGTCTGCGCGCTGCACTGGCATCGTTTAAGCCCAGTACTAAGCAATGTTAGCAAGCCATCGCCATTGTTAATCGATTACCAGCAGGACAGAGGGAAAAGACACTAGATGAACATACCAGCAACACGAATCACAGGGGTCTCCGACTCCAGACCCCTCATTGCCAGCTGCAACCGACTGAGATTGACCTGCTCGGGTGCAACATCTTTGAGCTGGTCGAGCGTCGTGTGGAGACCTTTCAGCCGCGGGGGGATGTTGCGGCCACCGGCATGAACGACAGGAACGGTGTTGTTGAGGGGTCGCGGAGCAGGTGTGGAGGGTATCGGATGAGTGTGGGGTCGGAAATCTAGGGGCTGTGATTGCTGTGATGAGTTGGAGGAAGCAACGCCGGTGGTGCTGTTGGCACGACGCGCAAGAGTGAGGGCGGTTTTGGTATTTCGGCGCCAGGTAGAGCAGGAGGGACAGTAGAAGACTGTGGCGGAGTCTCGGCCCGCGTGCGCAAGGCTCGCTGTGAGCGAGCCGCGTATTTTGGGAGGCATTGGTGTGAATTGGAGGTTGGCAAAGAGGATGAAGGGTAGACGAAGGGAGGAAAGCGAGGCCGCCGGAGCAAGCAAGGTATCGGCGGATTGAAGTTGGTGGTTGGTCTTGGCGGGCCGGAAACCAGCCGGATAACTTCCACCACATGTAAGGTACCAAGCATGATATCAGCGGTGTCGATTCTATTGCACTACCTAGACATTTACGGTCCAATTCCTACGCTGGCCATACTACAAAATCAGACAGCTGCCACGCGGGGCTGGAAAATGAGAGCAGAATTCATGGTGTATCAAATCATCAACTCATAGTTCAGACGTCACGGACGCCTAGAACCGCTTGTGTGCAGTGCAGGAATTACATGATTTATCCCCCGTCCGCCAACTCCAGTCTTTGATACAGTGCTTGCCGCCAGTGCGATCAGCCATCTAATCCAAGGTGGTCGTCGCTGGGCAAGATCACTCGCCCGTGGGGTTCGAAGCTGTGAGTTTCTTTCAATACAAGGGTGAAGCAGTTGCACGCCTAAAATTGCAAGGAAGGATATCTGTCCATGTGCCACTTTCGCCAAACCGGCAATTCTCGATTACAATGTTGTCTGACGCTCATGCCTCCCGGGAAACGGCAGAAGCGTCTCGTTGCCGACGAGTTTTGCCCGAGCCAGCCGACCTAGATGTATTAGAACCTGCCGTTTGACCTTCGGAAGGGAGCAAAACTTACATGCTGATTCTGCGAGCCACTGTGGCCAGGCCGGCGTCGTTGTCGGCTTCATGCTGCGCCCGCTCGAGAGCAATGCGTCGGTCCTCTTCACTGCGTCGCATGACTTCCTCCTGAGAAGGAGGCAGGCGTTCGTTCTGCAAATCGACCTTGCGCGCATCTTCAAAGTTCGTGATGGCCTGCTTGATACCCTCCGCTCCCAACATCAGAGTGCCCGCCGGCAGACGACCACCAGCCGCGGTCTTGAGCTCAGTGACTCGTTCGGATTCTTCACGGAGCACCTGGAACACACGCGAGAGGCGGCCGATGGCCAGAATCTTGTTCTTGATGGCACGACGCTTGAATTCGCTGCTCTCCACATCCATCTGCGCCGCTGGAGGTGACGAGGGCGCGGTAGGTGATACAGATGTAGGGGTCTCTTCTTCAAGCTCCTCCTTGGAGCAGGTGTTGAGGATTGCAATCAACATATCCGTGATCTTCTCACCGACGAAAGGAAGGGACCAGGTGAAGACGTCCATGAAGTTCGGCAACCAGTACGGGTGGGGGGTGCAGTTGAACTGACGGATGTTCATGACGTTGTTCTCGTACTTCAACACAGCGGCTTTGTTGTTGTAGACGTCCAGGTAGTTGGGAGCGCTGAAAATAGTCATGACACTGGGGAAGCCCGTTGTCCGGGTCTTGCGGTACATGCGATAGCCGGCATCTTGAGCTTCGTGCGCGCGAATGATGGAAAGAAGGTTGTTCTTTTCGAGGAAAGCGCAGGCCGCAGGATATGAGAAGAAGTACGAGCAGCCTCGCACGCTGTTGTGAATGAAGTAGTCTCCAGTCTTCTCCTGTCCGAATTCTTCCAAAGGATCGGCCCAGAGGATATCACACATCAGACCGTGCGTCGGAGGTTCTCTGAAACGGTCGATCTAAGCAGAGTGCATCAGCTAGCGCCTCACTACACAACCAGTAGAGATACGTACCGCCTTGATGTCCTCCAGAGTATGCAATTCAGGGCTCAAGCCACCGTGAATACACAAGAATTGCTTGTTCATGACCGCCGCCAGCGGCAGCGAGCAGAAAGATTCAATGCAAGCCTCGTAGATGCGCTCGCTGTACTTGTGCTTACACTCCAGCTTGAAGGTGAAGTAGTCCGTCAAATGTCTACATTCGTGATTACCCCGCAGTAACCACAAAGTGTTGGGGTACCAGATCTTCAAGGCCCACAGGTAGAGCACACACTATTGCGGAGGGTCAGACCGGAGCGGCTAGCCACGGTGGCAGGACGAATACTTACCTCGATACTGAAGTAACCTCGGTCGACATAGTCACCGAGGAAGAGATAGCGGGTCTCGGATGGGTCGCCACCGACTTCGAAGAGCTTCATGAGATCGTAATATTGACCGTGGACATCACCGCACACGGTGATGGGCGCATCCATCTCCAGGAGGTTGGGCTCGGCTCTGAGCAGCTGCGTTCCAGCCTGTATGATCCATAACGCTTGGTCTTCCGTAAGACGGCCTTCCCGGTAGAAGTGCTGTTTGAGAAACTGGAGGTTGGGCTTGGAGGGGTCTTCGGGAGACCAGAACTGATCGTCCGACGGGGTGTTCAACGCCGGCGCTTGCACCTCTGGATGGTTGCCATGCGATCAGCGGGATTCTTTGTGCAGAAGAGGACTCGAAATTTTGAGGCGGGGGAACGTAGCAAACCTTTGATGACTCGTTCGAGGGTGGACACCTGAGTGCCATCTTCCATGACATGTAATGTGAAGTCGATCTCCGGGACCGGCTTCTTCTCCGTCACCGCACGCGCGATGTTGCGATCCATGGTGAATAAGGATTCGAGGCACAAAGGAGGTTGAGTCTTGGACCAGAATGAATCGCAAGCACGTTGTGCCCCGGAGGATGAAGGGAGAGGAGGGGAAAAGGGGAAGGGCGACAGGCGCGGAGGCCAGTTGTTGGTGGTGGTGTTGTTGGTGGGGGGGGGGGGGGTTAAGGCGCGGGATGGGGGATTTCCCAGCCGAGACACCAGAGAAAGAGCAGAGCAAGAGGAAGAACTTGTGGCAAGATCGAGCTGCAGGGATGATCTCGGGGCGAAGAGAAATCAGAAAGGTGGAGAAGAGGAACCCGATAACAGGGTCGGGAAGGAGGAGTCGAAGAGGGGGAGGAGGGTTAGTGGACACTAAAGTAGAAGATTTTTAAGGATTTAACGATCATATATCAGATGGGGGGTGGGAAGAAGTGGGAATTGAAGGTCTGGCCAATACAGACAGAGACACTGAGAGAATAATAGGAGAAAGAGGGTCACTTCAAGTTGGGGCTTGACTAGATGGAGAAACTGAGACAATAATACCACAGTGCCACACGCTGTGAATAGCTAACTAACACTTGTAGATAAGCAAGAGGGGTTAGTTATACAATTTATTATAAGGGAAGGAGAGAAGGCTGTCAGACGAGCTGAAACCGGGTTCTGCACTCTCGTGTGCTTCTGTACAAGCTGATGAGAGGCGATGGCTGATGGAGGTGATAGATAGTAATCACATTAGCAACATTGGCATTACAGTAGGATGGATAAATTGGATTCATTCAGCTGCAATTCGACGTCAGACCCAACAAACCGTATTGACAGGTAATAATCAGCCGCAGTCGGGGATTACCGCCTCGTGACGGTCCCTGTAATCTTCCCACTGCTCCATCAAGGCGGGGAACTCTTCCAACTCCAATTACCCTGGACTGTAACTATACTTTCCGTCAAGCATCCACTATAACTACGTCTCTTTTGACACATTAGAGGGAATCCTGCTCACTGACAACACTGACCATACATACAAATCTCAGCAATCACCAAAATGTACGAATCCTACCGTAAGTATCCTCCTCTATCATCTATCCTCTATCAGCATTCTGACCTCAATCCAGGCCCTCACCCCCTCCTAGCCCAAGTCCCCCTGACCGTCTCCCCATTCATCAACCTCCCCACCACCGTCACCCTCCCCTACACCTACAAGTCGGTCCCATCCACCATCCCGCCTTCCGTCACCATCGACCCCAGTAACCCGGACCTCAAACCCCGCTACGTAGTCTCCTCGAGCGGGGAGCACGCCGCTTCCCCGGAGGAGATCCTCGCAGCGTGCAACGCCTTGGAGCAGCACTTGAACAAAGCCCGCCACGATGCCGAGAAAGCCATCCGCGACTGGGAGGAGTCCATCGTGCAGCGCGACCTGGCGGAGAAGCGACGTGTGGCGCCCGGATGGCTGGACCGGGAGGAGAAACTACTGCGGCCGATGAACGCGGCCGCCGGGTCGGGGTCACCGGAGGGGGGAGCAGCGCAATCGAGCTTGCTGGACAGTCTGTCCGCTGCGGATCCGGGGGCGGCGGCCTTGCCGTCGATGGTGCCGCGCGATGAGGGAGAGGAGCTGGATCGGGCGTTTGGGGGGTTGAATGTGAAATGAGCGGGGGCACATCTGCTTGGGCTTGTTAGGCCATGAGGAGCTTATCATGCTCATGCGACGAGGACTCTATCTCCTAGAAGATACGCGCTTCGAATTGGCGCTGTCGGTATGTCAGAGGTGCTGCGCGCGCAAGATGGGCCATGCGGAGAGGGCCCCTTGCTGGACCGCGGCACGTCAGACGGCGAAGCCTCGCATCAACACGCCGTCGTGTCTGGACTTGAGGCTCCAGGTACACAGCATGACGCGCAGTCTGCATAAGCTGAAACGGATTGAAAGAACGACTAGGTTTGTTCAGATATGGGACAATGCAGGATTGCCATGTCATAGATGGCATTGAGCGGAGTAGATAGAGACAAACGATCCAAGCTACTATCAAGCTACGCACACAATCCAGACCATCAAATTTGCAAAATTAACGCACCTACTCCCAAGGTCGTCATATGCACTGACCAGTATCAAAAGTAAAAGCCACACAGCTACTAAATTTCGTAATAACGCATCCAAAAATCCAGCTGAGGAGACGACCTAAGTCCCGAATCGGAGCTTCTCAGCTCCCGCCCGCGGTCCGCAGCTTAGTGACTGTGGTAAAGCTCCCCGCCGACCCAAACTCGCCATCACAATTTCTCTTTCTCATTTCTTCCCCTCCCTCCAAATTCTCCCCAACCTCACATCTCAACTCTCCGAACAAAACGCACTCACTCTCCCTCATCCCTCCCCCCTTCAGTTAAAAAATGGAACCCCTAATCACCGCCCCCGACACAACAACCTTCACCCCCCTCGCCGAGCACCAATCCCGCACCCCAAGCTCCTTCCACACGGGCCCAGCCATCCTCTACTACCACCGCACGGGCTGCCACCTGGTTGTCCTCGAGCGCGACCTCCTCGCCAACCCGACCCTGCGCGCCTTGCAAGCCAGCAATCCGAATGGCGCTGATGCTGGCACCACCACCGCTTCCACCTCGACCAGCGAAGAAGATGCGGATGCATCATCCCCCAAGGAACTAACGCTCTCCAACATCTCCGTCTGGGTTACATCCGAGTACGCCGCCAAACCCCTCCCCCCCCCTCCCAAAAGCAAACCCCTCAAAACCGACAGACAAGCTAACTAAACATTCAGCAAATTCCTCCTCTACTCCCCCACCACACACGCAGGGCTCTCAATCCCCTACCCCTCCATCTCGCTGCACGCCATCCAACGCCTGCGTCTCCCCGCCTCCGCAACCTTCGCAACCAGCCCGGCAGAAGAAGAACAAGGCCTCTACATGCAGATCGCCACCCCGTCCGCGGCGGGATTCTCGGCCGAGGACGACGAGGAGGAATGCACGATTTTGACGCTGGTGCCGCCTTCTTCACACGCCCCAGAACAACAGCAACAAGAGAAGAGTGGTGAAGAAGAAGAAGGATTGGAGACCGAAACGGAAACGCCGACGCAGGCGCTCTACGCTGCGGTTTCGGCGTGCTCGAATTTGCATCCCGATCCGGTGGAGCCGGGGGATGAGGAGGAGGACGACGATGAGGGGGAGGAAGGACCAGGCCACGGAGATAGTGCGTTGTTGCAGTCGGGGTTGATTGCGATGGGGAATGGAGCGGGTGGGTTGCCGCCGCCGATGGATGGGAGTTCCGGGTGGATCACGGCGGAGAATATGCATGAGTTCTTCGATGAGGATGGGAATTGGATCGGGGGCGGGCAGGAGCCTACATTGTCTCTGGGCCCCGGGGCGGGGACGGTGAGGCAGAGGGAGGAGGACGGTGCGGAAGCGCAGCAGGATGGTGATGTGAATGGGGAGGCGGCGAGTGAGGAGACCAAGTGGAGAAGAACGGATTAGTTGCAACGATGCTTCAAGAGTTCTACACAGATAGTTAGGTTATGAATTAATATCTAGATGGTAAGATTACAAGGCCCACTCCCCCATCTTGCATTGGCTGTACTGCTCAGCTCGTATTACATAGTTATCCTACCTACTACTACTCGGACAGTGGATATCAACACAAACGCCCGCACGCTAAGCAAAACCGGAACCAAACCTCGAAACAACAACCGAACCGAACATGATTTTGAGTCACAAGGGGATGCATCGATTGGAGTGTCTACTCCTTCAAGAATCCGTCGCCGTCATACAAGCTGGCCGGGGTGGCAGCACCAATGCCCAAGCCTACGGCCCGTCTCGTCGGAGTCTTCGGCTCTTGTTTGGATCGGTTGTTGCTCGACTTGGTCGGTGATCGATCACCAGGCCCTTGGCTTTTCGTCCTTTCCACACGCTTTGCAGTCGGCTCGTCGGGGAGTTCTGTTGCTTCCTTGACCAGAGATACTGTAGGTTTAGGCGGCGCTTTCAACTCCAGCGGCCCATCTTCCCAGATAGAGACAATGCCCCCGGTTTGCATGATCGGAGACTTGGGATTACTTCCGGCTGGCGGAGGGCGATGGTGAGGGCGGTGTTGTCGCAGGGATTGGGGTGGCTGTTGTTTTGCGATCGCTGGATGATTCATCCTCGGGGCGCCTGGCGGAGCTTGGCCGGCCGAATCTTGGTTCCGTGGCGATGCTGTTTGCTGGGCATCAGTCTTCGGTCGCTGGGCTGACTCAGGGGGCTTCCGTGCCGGATCTTTGCGCATGTGAGGAGGGCGAGAGGTGGTTCGTAGCGACAACTTTGCATTGTCCTCCAACGGCTGTGAAGGGCGGTAATTGTTACGCATTTGCCGGCCCGGCTGATTGCGCGGGCCCTTGACGGCCGACCGACGCGGACTCCCTGGACTTGACATGTTCTCATATGTAGATGGCGAACTGGTATGGCTGGACATCATCCAAACAGGACTGTTCGCCTCGGGAGAGGGGGTATTGAGCAGACTGGTCTCAATCTTCGGAATGGGCAGCGTAGTAACAATCTCCGGCAAAGAATTTCCCGCATTGATCATGCTCATCATGCTATCCGTTGAATCGCCTCGAGTATGCTTTCGCCTCTTGGGTGTGCCTCTGCGTGAGGTTCGACGATCTTCTGAGACATCGATCACGCGCAGGCGATCGTTTTGCTGAGAATGTTGAGTATTGTTGCCCGCCGAGAGACTAGATACATTTGAGGGGAGCGACACATTGGATGCTGACAGCTCGGATACCTGAGAACGGCGAAAGTCGATTTCCTCAACGTCTTCTGGCTCCTCGGCTGTCGGAGAGAATACAGGTCCATTGAAGGTGACGGGGGGATGGATCGAGATCCGGACGCAGTTTTGTCGCCGGTGGCCCTTTCGTAGACTGTTCCCGCTTCTCATCGCAGATGCCATGGGTGGCTTCACATGGCCGGCCAGGGACTGCGCAGAACTTTCCGGTGTGGCTAAACCGGTCAGTCTGTTTCTAGGGGCACCCTGTGCGTTGGTGTTCGCGGCATTCTGAGGCCCAGCGTAGAAAGGATCGTGGCTTCGTCGTTGTTCGGTTTGCGGTGGGATTCTCTGCATCTGACTGAAGTGCGGCAGCAAGGCCGCATTGCGACCAGCGGCGTTGAGGATAGGCGTATTACTCAAATCCAATGGCTTGACGCTCATACCCGAATCACGTCGAGAATGTCCCACGGAGACAGACTCACTGCGTCGTGGCGGCGGGCTGCTCCGTTCCATTGAGGTAGGGCTGCGGGCCGTCAAGCTGCGACGGGGTGAAGTACGACCTGATTCAATTCTCTGGCCCTCCCAAACAGCAGAAGATGTAGCAGGAAACACAAACGGCGCTGGTACAACTGAGCTGGGCGTCACAAAGCTACGTCTGTCAAACTCCAGCCGTCCAACGTCATTGGCATCAAATGGCGTAAAAGTAGGGCAAGGCGGTAGTGCTGGCGAAGTGAAGTCGCTCTCGATATTGGTCGATGTCCGTCGGCTTTCGTCGAGTATGGAGCTGTCTGCTGTCTCCAAACTCAACGAGGAGAAACATATAGAGTCATTCTTTGACAAGCGGAAGCGATTTGGCGGGTAGGCACATGGTGGGGGAGGTACAGGCTGCTCTGGCATTGTCCCAGCCGTTTGAGCGGTGATGCTTCCGCCCCGGACTCGGGCAAAGGGGGGATTGATCCCTTCTGGGTTGTCCTCTAAGACCGGATACAGATTTCCAGAGCGTTCCCGCGAGTGCACCAAGGGCCACGCTCCGGAGATTGGACGCATAGTGATTTCGGCTCGCGGGTGTTCCTCTTCTCTCTCAGGTGTGTGCCTCGGTGTCGTCTCTGTGGGCAATTCGACCGCTCCATCAACAGCGGAGCTCGACAAGCGCTCGTTGATACAGGAAACCACCGGGGATGATGAATAGCGCTTTTCGGATCTTTCTGTCAGCGGTGTGAGAGAACTGAGGCGTTGCGGTCCTAGGAAGCCCTTCGACACTCGCGCAGAACGCGTAGACAAAGAACGGGACATCGGCCGACGCAAGTCGCGGCCCTTTTCATTTGGAGGGGATGATGACTCCGAGTCTCCTGGAGAAGTAGGCAGACTTTCCCGAGACGATAGCACTCCCCATTCAGATGGCTTTCCATACGGAAGTTGGCCATATTGTCTCAGCGCCGTGCCTTCTTCGCGGGAGAGTTCAGTCAACGTCTCAGCCTGGTAGTGCTGCAAGCCAAATTGACCGTGTTTGGCATTTGCAACCGCCAGCGACAAGCGGTCATGGCGTACTCTGACCCATATGACTGTCCCCACGACTGCAGCGACTATGAAAAGAACCGAACAGCTGACGGCTATCGCGATCACGGTGGTCAGTGGCGGCATGGCTGTTTCCTTCCTGCGATTTCCTGACTAGACCCGACCGACCCTGGTTTTCTGAGCGTGAAGAGCGCGTTCACCCATTCACAATGCCGAAGCTGGTGTTGTTGGTCCGACTCTTCTCGTTTCGACGACTTTAGATCCAGGCAGGGCCGAAGATGAGGCTGGGAGGACGTTGAGCAGCGTTAAGCACCCGGCAAGACAAGGGACTGCAAGCTACGAACACGCCAACACAGGATGGAGGGACAAACAGGGAACATGTTGGATAAGGAGCGGACATAATTGGGAGGCAGGAAGACTTCGTTTGTTATGGTCACCCCGATGAGGCAGAAGAATGTGTAGAGCATAACAGTCGGGAGCGTGAGGAATGTAGCAACGGTTGGTCTTTGTCCGTCCCAGGCAAAACATGCGGGCTCAACAGAGCATTTTATTCGTCGAGCATGATTCAGCTATCTATTGTTCATTGAGATATTTCAACTGCTGTGTCAGTGAGGATGCAATTGGGGGAATGGCAACTACCGCGGTTCCGGGTACCTTGCTGCTGCTAGTTGCACGATGCTTGCATGCGTAAGTCAGCAAAGTTAATCAGATAGCTAAGTAGTGTGTAGCATGCTATATGTCAGTCCTTCTTTTTGGCTTTGTACGAAGATTTATTGATGTTGTTCGTATGAGTCCGGTAGGAATACATCCTCATGTATCCACTGCGGGGAAAGTCATGGTTCGACTAGTTATGTGAGCTTCCCATTGTGATCTGAGACATTGACAGATAAGGGAAATGACACTCTGGTCAGTCTGAGCGAGTGACAAGTACAGGAAATGAGCGGTATGTCTGTGTTTTGTCCACATTATCCAGAGCATCCACAGTTGTGGAAGTTGTAGATGTTGTTGTTCGCGGCGCCGCGGTTGACTTGACTTTCCTAATCCGGAAATCGGGCCGCCGTGACTGTCGGGAAGCAGAAGGTGGAAGCGGATAAACCTTTCTTCCCCGCCAACGGCTGGGGAATCGCTTCAACTATGGATCGTGGATGGAGCATCGATCGATGCACTTCGAACTCATACGCGCGCATTTGTATGATTCTTTCATAAGACCACGTGTGAATTCCGGCGGGTCCTATCATTATCATCCGCCTCATTCAACATGAAGTCCGCCGGAGCCGGTTTTCACCTACCTTCCGGCGGAGCTTGTCTACTGAGCACAGTTGCATAGTAGCTTGGCTGTGAATCTGTTGTATACATGCCCCCACTTCGAGTTGACGGCGAGGCGACTCTCCCACGCTAACCAATTGATGTCTGAGTCCGCCAGAGCCGTCACAATGGGGACTGTATGTCTCTTCTTTTCTGCTTGACAGGGTATGCTGCATGAGTTCCATGCACATCAGATGCTGTCATAGATGCCTGAGCTATCTGCTGGAGCGAAGCACAGTACTCCGGATATATTCACATTTGCGGCCAGATACATGGAGTGCTTGCTGTCATGCAAGAAACAACAGATACGACTCGCTTTCTAAATGTCCGTCCGACAATGTCATGGCGTCAGCGCCATCCCACCGTGATGATTAGTGCGTGATCCAAGTGGATGCTGCACCTCGGTCCAACGAGCTATGAGCGGCGGAATCATTCGAAGTCTCAGAGGGCAACGACTCAGCCCGTCTTCAGCTGGATCGGCGGCTCCTGAGCGGGCTCTAGCTGTCTAGCTTCAATCAACTTGCGGCTGGTCGTGCTAATAGTCAGATGTATCTAAGCTACGGTCTGAGCATATAAATCCACGTTCCCTCCAGGGATGCACCCCGGCTTTTATTTTCTCTACCCTCGTGCTCTTCTCTCATTTATCCTCCATACCTCTATCTTCTATTCTCTCTCCTATTTTTTTCTAGACCTCTCTCCTTTACTTTCCAAAGTTACCAGAATGGCAGCCAACCCCGTCCAGAATGGACTCTTCGTCCACGAGAACACCACCCCTCCCGCACACCCCAGCCTAATGCAGATGTTCTCTCTCAAGGGCAAAACCGCCATCGTCACAGGTGCTACGGCCGGCATTGGATTCGCCGTGGCCAACGGTTTAGCCGAGGCCGGAGCCAACGTCGCCATCTGGTGGAATACCAACGAGAAGGCGCCGGAGAGCGCGGCGAAGATTGCCGAACAATACGGGGTTCAGAGTGGGTTGACCCCTTAGTACCCTCGACAGTCAATGCATAGGCTAACATCCACCAGCCAAGGCGTACAAGGTTGAAATCAACGACCCCCAAGCCGTGCAAGAAGCGGTCGACCAGGTGGTGAAGGACTTCAACGGCCGCCTGGACGTCTTCATCGCCAATGCCGGGGTCGCCTGGGTGAAGGGCCCGATGGTCGATGCTCCATTGGAGCACTACGAGCACGTGGTGGGCGCCGACCTGAACGGCACCTTCTACTGTGCCCGGGCGGCCGCCAGCTACTGGCGCCGACAGAAGGAACAGGGCACGGATCTGTTCGGCAACCCGCTGGAGAATTTCTCGTACGGGAGCTTTGTGGCTACCGCCTCGATGAGCGGGCATATTGTCAACTTCCCCCAGATGCAGGCGGCGTACAACGCAGCCAAAGCGGGGGTCATTCATCTTTGTAGGTGTCCTTCAGCATGTTCTTCGGCAGGTAAATACTGACCAGCCTACAGGCAAGTCTTTGGCTGTTGAATGGGTCAGATTCGCTCGGGCCAACAGCGTTTCCCCGGGTTACATCGCGACGGAGCTGTCCAACTTCGTGCCGGACGAGACCAAGAAGATCTGGCGGGACAAGATCCCCATGGGCCGGGAGGGTCTTCCGGAGGAGTTGAAAGGCGCCTACCTGTATCTGGCCTCGGATGCGTCCAGCTACACGACGGGGGCTGATCTTGTGGTGGACGGCGGGTACTGTGCTCCGTAGGCTTTCTAAACATACACTCACGTATATATACCTTTTCCATTGCTATGTTTATAGGGGGGACTGTCGGATATGGATAACATCCCCGCGAGAGTCCAGACAAATCAACTAGATCTCCATCAAGTAGGATTTCATCCCCCAAGGTTTCGAAGAATCTCACCGCTCCAAAAAAACCACCGAAGACACTCATCACATAACCGCCACGAAGCCATGCATAGTGGCTTGCATCCCGCCTGCAGACGAAAGTTTCCAGTTCTCAATCAGGCCGCGCCACCCCTTTACTCCTAGATAGCGATTGCGACTCATCAGAGTTGATTCACACCGCTTATTCTCACGCCAAGCTTCTGCCTCGATTCCACCTTCTCTTCAAGTTTCTACGTACAGTACGGAGTACCTACTCAATCAATCCCTTCTCCCCAAACCAACCCCTCATAATACCGCACCACGCCCTCCACCAACCGCCCAAACCATTCCCCAAGAACCCCATCCCCAACCCCGGCGTCACAATCACTATCGCCATCGCCATCACCATCGCCATCACCATCGCCATCACCAACAACCCGCTGCTGTCCGAGTTCCCCCTCCTCCAGCTCCCACGACGTAGACGGTCTCGTCCTCCGCTCGAACACATCAGCGTAGACGAGGGCGGTCTGCGGATCGAAGTATTTGCTCAGCGGGGTGCTTGGAGTCTCAGGAAAAGCATTGTGCGGATCGGGGCTGGGGGGTTGGTCGGCTGTTGGGGATGGTGAACTGTAGTCGGTTAGTTCTTGTATATGACGGGGTGGATGTAGTGACAAGAATCCCGAGTCCGAACTCGGGAAACTTGAGAGGGATGAGGGGGGCCAGTGGACATGACACACCCATCCTCGACTGTTGCGAGACGAGCGTAGCCATCTCGGCCGCTGGATCGGGCTCGGAGACGACGACAGTAGGTGCGGATAGGGCCTTGGAGGCGGTAGAGGCAGAAGATGAGGGAGAGGAGGAGGCTGATGGTTGGGAGGAGGGGGAAGGAGGGGGATGGCGATGCTGGGGCGGGCATCTTGCTTGAGGACTCTGTTGTAAGTAGTGGTGGTGGTGTTTGAGGGGGTATACTTGAGACTTGAAGAATTTGAACTCATGATGTGGTGTTGTTAGTCTCGTGGGAAAAATATATCACCATCATCACTGCTACAGTTTTATACCACTTCCATGTATCGTGTAGGAACACCAGGTGGAAACTGAATGCAATTGCCGTGACAAAGGGGATGGAGTAGGGCTGAAAGGGGGACAATGGCTTTGCGCTCTGGTTTTGGTGGTGGAAACACCTCGGTGTATAACGGCATGAGGGGTGTTATGAAGTATTAGGTCCAGGGGCACCCAGCTCTAGCTTCTCAATTGTCTAGATTGATGCATGCATCAGACTCTGAGCATCTACACAAGTCATCTAAATGAAGAGCCCGAGGAAAGTGAGGAGGGGATACCACCGGCAGAGAAAAATTAGTCGGCAGAGCTGGACTGTATATAAATCCACCGGCCCCTGGGAAGTAGCTACCCAGCTGGCTATACTAATACTTCGCAGTCCATAACACTCCATTTACTTCCCCTCTGAGTCGGACTGGACAACATATACGTCTCACCCCAACTATATATCAAGTATATAATAAGCTGAGCATACTGCGGTGTAAATCCCAGTCCCGACCTCAATACTCAGCCAAAAGCCTCTACCCTCTCCCTCGCACGGGCAAACCACAAACCACAAACCACAAACCAAAACCACAATTCAAATCATCAATCAGGATCTAATCAATCCCCAAGAAACCCCATCACCAAGCCCCTAAGCAAGTTACTCTCAGCTTAACTGAGCTTACCTCACCCACCCACCCACCTACCTAAGCTAGTAAGCAAGTGAACCACCCGATCACCAAATAAAGTAACCCAACATTCCTCAACCCAGTGACCCCGTCACATCCCCATCCCCTCTTCCTCTTCCCCCCCCCACCTATCTATGAAATCATGTGCCCCCTTCCCCAGTACACCGACCACAGCGTGACTTTCCCCCCCGAATCCAGCCGACAGCATCAAACGTTCCGGGATCAACTCACGATCAAGGAAGCCCCAATGACGATATGCTCGCAGCTGAGAATGGAGGATGACATGGGTTTTCTATTCAACTGACACCGACACTGGCACTTACCTTGGCTACGATGACAAGTGAGGATGTAGATAATAATAGCTTAAGGTTGCCTCCTTTCTTTCCACTTTTCAATTTTCCATTCACATCAGTCTTTGTCTTCTTTCTTTGTTAGAGACTATACCTGCCAAGGTATACCCAACTCCGAACCACGAATGAACCCTCTATCCTATTCACATTCATATTCACATCCACAAATACAAACACAAAGAAAGAAACCCACCCACTAAAACCAATCCACAAAAAAAAACACAACCTCAAAAACAATAGACCACTGCATCCACAAATGAAACGCGCTCTAAACAAAGAAATTCCCCACCCCAAACACACAAACCGTGAACAATTGATCCTTTATTGGGGTTCGATACACATACACTAACCCAAACACCACGGAACCACGGAAAAGGACAGTCAACTCGGATTAACCCTTAACTCAGGATCTGGGAAATCTTGAAGTTGGAAAGGGGCCACAGACAGACAGAAAAGAACTCCGACTCGGACTCCAACTCGGCTTTCAGCTTAGACTACACTACCCTACACTACACTCACTACCTAAGGCCTAGGGCAAGGATTATCTACACCTATTCAAAAACACCGCAATCGACAGTCCAAAAACTTGGTTTCGGGGAGTAGGTGCTTTTGCGAGTATACTTTCAATTTTATACTTGTGGTATAACGTTAGTATATGCTCGAATTGTTTATACCACCACACCCATAACCACAACCACAACCACCAAAGATGCTCCCGCCGACACCATCACCATCGCCTCCACCGGCGACCATCCTGTCCGGCGCGACGGTTATTTCACCAACATCAGCATCAGCAACAACATCAACACCAACATCAACAATAGAAGAAGAAGAGTTGGTAAGTCCTCCCCCCCCAAGCCCTTCCCCAATTCTCCCACCCATGCCTCCGCTAACACCCCCCCAGACAACCGCCCTCCACGAAGCCCTAACCTGCACCGGCTGCACCGCCATCCTCCGCATCCCCAAATCCACCTTCCGCGCCGACACAGCATCCGGCCGGTACGATCCAGCCCGCACCGTCCCGTTCAATCCCGCGCAAGCGGATTCCGATCTGGCGCCGCACGAGATGCCTCCTGCCACTTCTTCAGAGGACGATGAGATGGACCTTGAAGCTGATGATGCTGTCCACTCTGGTCGGCAGGCCCGCTGCCTGACCCCGGAAACCCCGAAGACACAGGTGGAGCAGCAGCATCGGTACATCAGCTACGCGGAGCTCACCCCGCCGTCCACGCCCCCCTCCTCGGGTTCCGCACAGGGCCATCTGTACGAAGCGCTGGTGGCGCGATATCTCCTCGAGGGTGAAGATGATACCTCGGACGACGAAAGTAACAGCGAGGATGTCGCGTTCGCGAAATACCGCGCGGACTACCATATCCATGTGCACTACACGCTGCGGCGGGGGATATTGAGTATCTGTCGGGATGGGAAGGATGTCTATGAGCTGAAGGGGTGGCAAGGGCGGTTGCATGCGGTGGATTCGGGTCTGATAGACTTGGAGGAGCTCGAGTCTGGCATGATGGACTGGCGCTATGGGATCATCAGGGAAAAGGGTGGCGGCGGGACAGTGGGAAAGGGAGAGGGAGGATACTACTCCTCCAATCCCCACCAGTCTTACTACCCAGCTCCAAGCCCGATGGCGGCCTTGCCTCGGACCCAGAAACTGGGCGGCTGGCCCGACGATGCAAACCAGCTCATGGCGTCACAGGTGGCGCTATGGAGAAAACGGGGGCTGAGTCGGCAGCGACGAGTCGAGGACGTCCGCATCAGGTGGGCTTTCATCATGGAGGAACGGAGACGGCAGCGACTGGCCGCGCTGGCGCAGGCACAACGACACAAAGCAACTAGCAGTGTCAAGGTGAGGCTGTATTGTTCGCAGGCCGGCGGGGATCGGAACCTCATACGGGAGATCGAGATGGATGGGAGGTCATTTGGAGAGCTCGTCACATGATCTCGATGAATGAGTGTAACGGTCTCAAAGGGACGAGAAAGGGAAAACTTTTTCTGTTTCATACAACGGAATTGAGGATTATCAGAGCATCGCTAGCCATGCACACGAACCTCTTCCTGGGGTCAAAACAAAAACACGAATAGCGGGCGAAGGCGAAAATCCGACAGACCGACAACCCAAACGAATGCAAGTAGGTCGGTCTCTGTTTGCGAACAGCGCAACAATGCAGGTGCAATGAGCAACTGAAATCATCGAGGGGGAAACGCCATACTTCACCCCGGAAATGAAATCGCTATCATGTAAGGAAGGTCAGTCGCAGCAGCAATGACAGCCAACATATGCAAGAAGATCGACCATGACAAAAGGAACACGCAAACAAGGAAGGTGATGGTCCGCTCGTCAGCGGACAATGACTGTTTCAAGTCGTCAACAAGTCGTCAACGAGTCGTCAATCTGAATCTGCAGGCATACTGCCTCATATAGCATTGTCGATTGCAGGGTCGCCCATGTCGCCCAGGTTTTCACTGGGTACAGCCCGTTCTCGACCTTATCAATAGGTGGATCTTTCAAACCTTTTCCATGCCTGACATAGGCACATCGTGAGGGGAAGACTCGTGAACAGGTCGCTTGATATCAGCCGGATAAGTCTCCTTCTGCTCCTCCGGCTGCTGCTTGACCGCCGGGGCATTCTTACTCTCGGGACGCTTTCGTCCCAGTCGTTGGCACCAGTGCTCTGCACTGACAAGGGTGTCATTGACAACGCCACTAACCTGGGCCATCATGTCAAGCCCTTCCTGAGCGAGGACCAAAATCCGATGAGCGCTGACCGTCGTATCGGAAGCAGCTGCCGCTGAATCGGGTGGTGGGTTGGAAGTCGAAGCGATCTGGAACCGATGGGGAAGGGAGGTGAGATGGCGCCGGACGAGGTTGCGGGCATTCTCCGGCAACGCTCCGCCAGCGTACTTGGAGACGATATCCACGACCCTCTTCAAGGTGGACAAAACATCCTCCTTAACAGCCTGTATCCGCTGTGACAGGAGATTTGCCTGTGAAGACCCATCCTGCTCACCCTGGGCGGACTGGCCCGAGCTATCCCACTCCTTCAGCGCGCCCTGCAGCGCCAGGATAGCCTTGCCCAACCGACCGTTCGCCCACCGCAGCCACGTTAAACAGTACTGCAGGCTACGCAGCGACTCCTCACTCATCGCCACCCCCAATCCAGAGGTCGAGATCATTAACCGGCTCTGCCAAGTCGGATTCTGTCTCGAGGGGCTGTCCCGACCAATCTCATCATAGCTGGGGGATTTCTGATCATCGTACGGCGGGGGACCCTCCACAACACCTTCCAAATCACCATTCGCGGAGCCTTTTTCGACGTCCACATCAGCACCCGCCGATTGCGGTGGCACATCTTCACGGCCATTCACCTTGCGGCGTTTCGACCGCCCGGAGCTGGCCGACGACGACGCCCGACGCTGCAACGCCCAGCGCAGTCCGCTCTCTACACCGGTCTTTCGACCAACCGTACCGACGGACTTGGCAACCGGCGACCCGATATTCCGCTCGATGAACTCAGCCCCCGACTTGAAGCGGGGGGAATATGACTTGGAGTTCGCATAGGCCGAAACAGACCCATTGATGGCCGAGGAGATGAGGGGGTGAGTGGACGTCAGGAGGGAGAGGAGGGGTTCCGGCTGGGCTTTTTGTTCGGATGGCTGCAAGGTTCGGGGCGATTGACCGTATTCTAGATTGCCAAAATACAAACCCATTATCAAAACTTATTCCACAGTGTAGCAAAGAAGTAAGGACGGTGGTGCGAGCAAAGAGCACAGCAGCAGACGCGGGAGGATGTGATGTCCTTAATAATTGAGGAGAAGGGGAGTGGGGGTGTATACCGGTACGCAAGCCCTCCAAGGCTTGGGCGGCTTCGATATCATCCATGGACAGGACACTGGTGGCTCGACGCGAGCGATCCTCGGCCGCGGTAGTGTGATCGACATCCATCAGAGACGACGGGGGAGGAACATGGTGATGAAAAGAAGGATAAGGGGCGGGAGGAGGCGCCGTGTAAGAAGTCGTCGAGGTGGAGGAGACTAATAAAGGCGAAGGATGGGCTGACGTCGTGGTGGTGGTGGTGGTCGGCGTCGTGGCGTCTCGAACAGCAGAAATGGACGCCTTCGGGCCAGGACCAGAGATGCCGTCGGTTGGACGGTGGTCCATGGCTGTCCTCCGACAACCAGAACGGGTAAATGAGTCGAGAAGGCGTGGAACGTAAGAGCCGGAGGAATCGGTTAGGCTTAGGCGCGTTTGTTTGAGACTATCTGATTATTCGGAGAGAGGGGAGGGGCGCGAGAGGGGGGAGAAGTGATGAGAAAGTGGAGAGGGGCGGATAATAGGAAAGGCAGTTGAAAGAGGTTGGAGATCCCGAGCGAAGCTCGATTGAGCGTGAGAGTGAGCAGTTGATTGATCGACTGATTGATTAATTGCCTGCTTGGTTGGAAGGATGGGAAGGATGCCCTGGATGAATTGCAGGTGCAAGACTCGACGGAGGGACTTTCACGTGCAAAGCAAGAGAAAAACGTAGGCGCGGCGGGCCAAAGAAGAGCCGAGACTGACTGGGCGTGGATTCGGCAGTCACGAAACTCGACTCATGAAACCACCCTTGAACTCAGCTCTCACTTCCTCAGTCACTCACTCAGCCTACCTTAAACCTGGTCTAATTGATTCTCACTCGGGCTCTTGTATTATTAGACCATCTTACACTGCACTACGACACCCAAATGACACTACCCTGAATTTTGGTGGGATGCTAAGTTGGTGATCGAGTCCCGTATCCCATTGCCTCAGGCACATGCAAGCAAGAGTTTCGGTCATCCTCAACTTGCTGGACTGGTTATGAAGTGACTGGGTTTCTCCTCGCCCCCCTTCACATGCTAAACCCGAGTCACAAGTCAGTCAGGTAGTCAACTTTGAGATCCTTAGTAGTCTCTGGTAAATTCTGGTTGTTGTTCTGCCCGGGAGGAACAGCCGACGATTAGTCGAGAGTCAATGAGCGAGAGCGAGATGTAAAGGAGCGCAAGCAGCTCGTGGAAGCTTCCGTTTCCAGGCAGATTGTACTTAATTGTACGACTTGACATGTGATTCCACCCGCCTCCCAGTAATGCACCGTCCTACCGCCTGCCCGGTCTGAATCATGTCCATTTCACCATGATTCATGATTCTTGGAGTTTAGTCAGGGAGTTAACTACGATTCAGCCAACCAAACAAAACGACCCCATGGCCAACTGGTCACCCGAAGGCAAACAATAACTTAGTCTCGTAGATCGTTGTTGCTAGTATCCATACTATCTGGCCCAATGCCCTATCCCGTTCTCGCTTAATCCAAAGTTTCTACCAAGGGAGGCACATGCATGCAGCAGCACGATAACCAAGAATGTACCTCTCAGATGCATGAACTGAATTCCAGCCAATGAACCATGCTATCCGAAGCTGAAACCTCGCTCATTCCACCGACATTCCATCGTCCGGATCGTAGTATCCGCCCGCTGCTGTCGACGGCAGCCCGAAGTGCATCGCCTCGATGGCTTCGTGCCCTTCGTACTCGTCCTCGCCCGGCCCGGAGTCTTCTTCATCTATCGGGTCCCGCGACGTAAGCTGTGCGATGACCTTCTGGTTGACACGATAACAGGCAAGGATCTCATTTGTCACGGTCCGCCCTGGTAGGTAGCTCGCCTTCATCTGACAGAGCACCTCACCAAAGGCGTGCATGACGAAGCCGGAATGAGGCCACCGCTGATACGTACTGGAAGCTAGAAACCGAAGCCATTCGCCCGGACAGTGCTCCCATACCTGAATCAAAGGATGATCTCCTGACGGAGGCTCAATGGCTTGAGCTTCGTCAGCAGCTTCTAGAGCACGGACGGAGAAGGACTCTTGGCTCCTCGACACGTGCTCGTTCCACTGCTCGTACAAGGTCTTGAGCTTCTGAGCCACACCTTGCAGTGCTGTTTTTAGTCCTATGTCCTGTGTGGCTTGCTGTTCAACATGAGCCCATACTCCCAACAGGTCTTCATCCCGGTTCTCGAAAGACTCCTTCTCGGGGAATGCCTTCTCCAATTGTGCCAGAACCTTATTGCGCTCTTTGTGAGCCACCTCGAAGCGAAGAAAGTCAATAATATCGGTCTTCTTGTGTCTTCGTTCAGAATTCTTGTAGGCGGGCAGAGCACGAGCCCGAGGGCTGATTCTCTTCCGATATTGCACCCAGGCTTGCTCAGACAGATGCACACCTCCCTTACGGCCGTCCACAAGATGACCTAGGAGACAAGCAAGCTCCGTGGCGTTGTGCGAATTGATCGATTCATCATAGGCGATCTTTTCATGCTCTACAGTGCAGCGCCCTAAATTCGATAGAGTCAAATTGAACGTGAACGCGCTTTGGAGGAACTCGTCCATGGATTGGACGTCCCTCATGGGCACGGAATGTTTCGTAAGACCAAAGTGCTCTGGGGGGTATTCGACATCTGGGAGGTCCGAGTTATGAAAGCTGCGCACGATGTTCTGATCCCAGCAGATCCAGGGCGTATCACCATCGTAGTCGCCGCCTGATAGCATATGCGCCAGCGGTACATTACCCACACTGGGAAACACAATGACATCCTTGAAGTGGCGAAGGCCTGGCTTCCATACAGCCTTCCGGCGCTGAATGTCAGAGGGAAGGTGGGCTGGAAGTCGGCCGACCAGGACTTCGATGCCGTCGAGTAAAGTATCTTCAAATTGACCTTCGCCATCGCGCCAGTTGGTAGAGAATCCAAAATGCACCTCGTCTTCTTTAAGAATCCCATAAGGATCTGCGATGCAGAAAGCGTAAGTCGAAAGAGGGACCTCTATATGTGACTCATCCACATATCGAGTGAGCAGGTCCCTGAGACATTTTCCCAGTCGCTTGCGAAGCGGATAGAAGCTTCGAGGTCCAAACCCTGCTTCAGTAAGTCGTATTATCGACTCTGCATCATTCGCCGTCCACTGCTCCAGGCGTTTGACTTTGTGTGACATTAGCCCGGAGCCGTCATCAGCTAAAGGCCGGATTTTCTGGATAAGACTGCGACAAAGGACAGCACTATCGGACTGGAGTACCTGTACAAACTCCTTATACACCGCTTGAATGCCTTGCCGGGTGAGGTCGCCGATATATTCCCTCACGTGTCCGCCATGCTCGAGGATTGCCAAGAGTTGAATATTTAAATCGACCGGATGCAACGGCTTGGACCATTTCACAACCTCGAAGGTCAACTGCTCGTTGTCAACAGGCTCTTGCCAGGTTTGGGGATGCGGATGGATTTTCAGCTGCGAGTCGGAAATCTGAATCCACATGTCGTCATTACACTCAGCTGATAAATGTGAATGATGTCGATCAACCATCCACAACCCTTTGGCTCCCGCAAATCGACCCTGGAAGGCACTAGGGGTTAGTCCTGTAATCCCCAGCATGTCGCAGATGTGGCTGGCCATCTTCCTTGACATCAGGGCGCACCCATCATTCATAACCGGACGGCCTGGGAGGTCCGGCAGCGACAGAATGTGCGATGGTCGCAGCACCACCGTTGCATAAGTTTTGGAAAGACCTAATGATAACCTCTGGAAAAGCTTGCAGTTAGACTGGCCGAGATTGGCTGCTGAAGGCATGTGCCATTCAATAAGTTCTTCTAAATCCATCGGCGTGCGGTTCGTACTGTCCTGGTTTGGGAGAGGTAGGGACGAGGGTACTCTCACCATGTGGTCAAAATCAATGCCGTCGACAGCAAAGAAGTCCACTCGAAATTTCGGTTCCGACTTCACCTTACGCTTTGATTTCATTTCCTCCACAAAGAACGGCCTCCATTCCCTACCGAGGCACCGATGCACCCGTTGCGTTAACCAGAGAGCTAAGCTTTCTCGCAGGAGAGTAGGATTTTTGGGTATTCGGAGACGAGGTGGCGGCCGCGCCGGGGCAGGCATCGTCAGACTGAGGAAGCGATCCGATCCAAAGCGTCGATGAAAGCGGCAGGTTCGTTCTGTCTTCAGAGGATTCAATTTCAACTTCAAAATACCGCGTTCGGACCCAGTGCACCACTCCATGTCCCCTGTGAAGACGACCACCTCGGAATGCTTATCTGTTTTGAAATCACCCGTAGCGGCTTCCCACGCCTTGCGAGTTGGCTTCTCTGGAAGTGGCTTGCCGTCTCGCTGGTTATGACGCGCTATCCATTTCCAATAGTCGTCCAGAGTTCTGAATGAGATGGTGTCACCAACGAGCATGCGGCTTAAAGGTACATTCCACGCTCTGCCTATCCTTTCTAGCTCATATCGATAGCGAAGTGGAGTCGACTTTGAGAAAGTCTGCTCGTAAGTGAAAGGTCCGTTTTCAATAAGTTCTGCCATGATTTGTCCGTCGTCGGTGTACTGAGACTCCTTAGGTGTGGGACCTGGAACTCGACTTTGCTGCTCAAACGTCGTTCTCATCTCCTGACTGAGCATATGCCCTACCACCGACTCTTCGTACAGTGACTCGTCCTCCGGCATGGGCTCGGTGACATCAGTGGTTGTTGAGAGAAAGGACGTGTTATATGAGACTTTGTGCGAAGCGAAAAAGTCAGAGGATGAGGCAGTAGTTGTGGCGAAGCTGGCGTTCACGCCGGTGTGGGCAGCAGGTACAGCGTCGTATCGCCGGTACTTGTCAGGTGCGGTCAGTCTCTCTACGAACTTGGAAGGCTTTTCCGAGGCAGAGCGGCGAGGGCTCTGGAAGAGGTTTGTAGGGAAAGTCGCGATCGTTGACTGCCGATGGCTACCTTGATTAGAGTATCCGACAACATGGGAACAACTGTCTGTCTCCAATGGGGAAACTGATCTTGCAGGTTCTTTCACCGGAGAGCTCGGCGCAGTATGAAACTCGTCCTCATCGGCCGAAAGTCTTCTCTTCAATGACTTAGGTGTTAGATCTTCAGGCTTCGCCGAAAGTTGCTCCATCACACGGTTGGCCGGAAATGAGCCTTTGGTCATTAGGTAGAGTTCATCGTCGATCAATCGCAGCAGGTATCCCAGTCGCTCTTCCCTTTCATGACCTGAATGTGAGCGGGATGGATGGAGTGGTCGAGACGAAACCCATTCTTGAAAATCTTCGAGGACTCGATACAAGGGGCCATTGAAGTAGAGCCGCTTGAGACCGCCATAGCATCTCCATGCCGGTGTTTTGTTGTTACCGCCAGGGGAGTAGATGCGGGGATTGGGGATCTCCAGCGAGAATGTTTCGTTGATCTCGTCTATGAGTTGGATCAATTCCTGCCCGCTTCGGCTTGGAGTGATAGGCAAGCCCATGTTTGTCAAAGCCCTGGAATAAGAACAGACGGGCCAGACTGCATGCGCACAATCCAGTATCGATCGACCTCGGAGATGTCAGTTGTGCGGGTACACCAATTGGGAGATTTGGTTCTCCACAAGACGGCGGATAACCACTGATCCAGTGGATGGATAGTAAACAATCGAGTCGGCGACCCGCACCAGAGATCTTCCTCGACTCTCGCCTCTGATCAGTCGGAGGTAGATACAAGCATTGAGAAAGAACTGGCGTTGAAGCAGTTAGGGTCTTGAGAAGAATTGAGGGAAGCAACTTCAAAGCGGAGAAGAAGAGAGGGAATATGCAAACCAAACAAGAAGATCGGGTCGGGTGGTTGAAGCTAAAGAAAGAAAGATTGACTGACCTGACAGCTTCAACCCCTCCACCTGCCCTCCACTTGCCCCTCTCGAGCGAATCAGAGCGACCTCTTGACGCCGGTCACCTCGACAGGTCATTCCTACCATGCAGTTACATCCACATAAAACTCACATATCTCGATATGTTTGCTTTTTCATGCTGCTGCGCGACCTTCTTGGTATCCCTCAAGTGCCGTAATTAGACACCAGCATGCGGCAGTCTGATGCCCCGCTTCAGGTCAGTACTATAACACAAGATTTGGACGAGATGAAGATCAACTGATTGATATTGTTTTTCCTGCCCCTTTTTTATTATTTATTTTAGAATCAGATATCTGGACGGGAAGTAAAATGTCTAGCGTGTAAGCAAGCTTTCATAGCCCGTACTGTACCCGACCCACAAACCATGCGACCAAGCGCCGAGCAATCCCGCTCCAGCTCAAGTATTCCTTCGCCCAGTCACAACACCCACCAGATTATGCTTCGGCGCATGCGGGCTGATTCTGAGTCTGGATAGACTTGATCAGGTCGTCCCTGCGTCAAAAGAGTACGACCTGCTTTCAACGAACTTTGCTCAGCCTTGAGGGATCTCATGTCAACACTCTCAGGTTGTACCGAGTGGCTCCTGGTAGCAAGCTTGTAGCCCACGGCAAGTATAGCATATAGTGGGATTCCCACATAGGATGTGATGAAAGCCACATAGTCAAACCCCTGTGGGTAAGCATCACGGCTTGTAAGGTCAAATACTCGAATCACCGAGAAAAAGATACATGCCACTAAGGCGACCCAGGAGCCGAGCACCCCAAATGGAGCCCGGAAGATCAGATCCTCGTCGGCGATCTTCTGCACCTTTCGAACTCGCACGAATGAGATATGAACCACCAGGATGGAGGCCCATGTAAGTATGCTAAACATTGAAACCAGGTTGACATGGTTGTTGAAGAGTTTCTGAGAGCGACTAAAGGCGTTCAGATACGCCGTGCATCCTATGAGGGCGCACACACCCAAGGCATACATTGGAACTCCCCGATCATTGGTTCGACAGAGGAAAGAAGAAGCATGTCGATCTACAGAAAGCTCATATAGTGTTCTTGTCGCCAAGTAGAGGGCTTGACTGGCGGCAGAAATAACACAGATCAGTAGGAAGGCGTTCAAGATATGTGGCAACTTTGACCAGCCAGTATACTGTGCGATCGTCACAAACGCTGATGCCGACCGGGGCTTGTCCGGGGATTGACCTAAGGCCAAGACGTGGGTACCAGAGGGAACCAGTATCCCCAATAGAGCCACATTGACGATATCGAAGGCCAAGATGCGGTAGCAGTTGGACTCGATGGCCTGCCCTGCAGCTTCCCTGGGATTATGCGTGCGCAATATAGTTATGCCCATGAGCTCACTTCCGAGGTATGCCAATGTAGCAGAAGGGACTGTTCGAAAGACCGCGCGAAGTATGCCCGTTGCTTCTTTGTTCGAGTGCTGCGCAAACGCACCTGGATAGCTCCAGTAACGAAAGCCTCTCTTATCATGATCAGGGCCGCCACCGAAAGCCAGGACAACACAGAGACAGACTAGACCGAACATCACAATGATCTTCATGCAGGAGAGGCAAAGCTCGTATTTGTCGAAATATTGGCTACATTTCGAGTTCGCAACGATGATTGTCGCGAGAAAGAACGTGATCCAAAGGATCGAATATCCTTTCTCATCACCTTGCCAGTAGGCTATCAGCAATTCTCCCGCTGCGAATTGGTTCGGGATCACAACCATGAATTTCAGCCAATAACTGTCTGGATTAGACCGTGTCATATAAGATAGCGAGGTTCTTTAGGTAGGCTGACTCACATCCATCCTAATGTGAACCCAAGCGCCGGATCACAGAATCGAGACGCATTCTCGGCCATTGATGGTTCTGTGGACCAAGAAGCGACCTCACCCAGAGCACACAGAACCAGATAGACAATAAACCCAACGAATGTGTACGAAATAAGTATAGAAGCAGGCTTTGTTGATTAGTGTGTATCAATCACGAAAACTTCAAGGTACTCACCCCAGCCCTGTAGTCTCTAGTCAGCATCGAAGTGAGGAATGGAAGAAGTTGGTGCTCTTACTGTGAAAGTGCACGGCCTGCACAAATCATGAGGCCGGTATTGATCGCTCCTCCAATCGCTATGGCTAAGATAAGCAAGGCATAGAGGTTCAAGTTCGGCAGACGAGTGCGCACCGAGTAGATTGACCTGACGCGGGCTCAAAGCTCCATAGACAGGAATAACGGGCCGCATGCGCGGGTGGAAGGAAGGCCGTATTGAACGAATTGAAGGGATGTCGCCTTCAGTCGTTGTTGGGATACTATCATGATCTCGATCGTTGTCGCATTTTCCCGGAGCCATCGCTACCCATACAGAACGGATGCGTTGCCCCCGGAGAGATCAAAATTCGAGTCCCTGGAGATGCGCTTGAATTCTTTGAGTTTCAAAACGTTGAGTTGGACATGACAAGGGAAAGAAAATTGCGTAGTTGCCTGACTCAGGCGCGATGATTTGCACTTGCCGTCCATGTTGTCACCGTTGGCGACTTGGTTACGTGGTACCCGACGCAAGAATGATGAATAAAAATGAATTTTTGATATCTTTCCAGTGACCGTGAGACCTGTCACCGACACTGGGTGATTGGAGAAAACCCCCGAAGTACATTGGTATATAAACGTGGTGGTGACGTAATCATACTCATCCACTCGAGACAGTCATAAGCCATCAATAGGTACACGAACGCCTGTCTAGAAACCCCCGGGAACAAAAAAAGACCCATGAGAAGGTGAAAGCAAAGAGAAACAACAAGGGAGGGAGGGCTGCCATTGTATGCTGTGGTATCCACTGTTTTAAGTGACACCGTACACACGATCATAACCGAAGCAGCACGAAGGTGGAGGCGCATCTAGCGCCGACTCGTGTTTCTTCCTAACAAGGGACCGAGTTCGTCGTTCATCGAGACATGTACAAAGAATCGCTCGATTCAGTACGAGGGAAGATCCGAGTGTAGAGAGAGTCGCTGGATTCCGATCGAGGGAAGAAGCGTTGCTGAGCCTTGGAAATGGTGCGATCGGTATACACACCCTTGGCGGCACCCCTTACGACGGTTTCCAGGTATTCCCTGAAGTCGGTAGGCGTGAAGTCGGGGTACAGTTCCTTGGACGTCACATAACCCAAGTATTTGGCATATTCCGGCGTGTTGTCGCCCCGTAGACCCCAGGATAGTTGATACTCGGCGAGATATCTGGGAATGAACTTGATGGGATCGAACGGGTAGGTTTCGCTAGATTGGCGGGCTGCGAGCACTCGGGTGTAGATGGTCTCTTCAGGAATCTGAGTGATTATGACGTCAGTCGATGTCGTGGCACCAGCAGTGCTAAAGAACTCTTACATAGTTCCTTTGAATCTTCTCCTCACTAATCTCCTCCAAAAGGTCGTAGATCTCGTTCTGAGTCTTGACCTCGTTGTACGCCAATACCATTTTGTTCAATGTCCGGTCATCGGTAATAATCTTGGCAACATAGCGACCGATATCCCGCAAATCCGTCAGAGCAATGGGCGAGTTTCCGTCAGCGACGATCTCGTTATTGGCTGAAGTCATGGCATAATCGATGCGACCAGACTCGAGGCGGGGGTAAGAGAACTGGTACCACCAGCCGACATCGATGATAGTGTAGGGTAGTCGGAGCTGCTTGATGTGGTTGTAGACCGTCTCTTTCTGTGTGGAAGGTTAATCGAGAACGTCAGATTCGGATGAGCCAGCCAGCATACCTCGTCTCTCAGCCACATGATACCACCAGGCGGGGCTACTGTGATGAAACCGCAGGGAATAAATCGCTGTACACCGGCATTCTTCGCTGCTTTGGCGAGAGGGATCTGATCCTGTTGTTCTGAAGGGCCGACACAACTGATGACGACATCGATTCCGGTGAGGACGTCGGTGAGCGACTCCTCGGGACCCTTGAGATCACCCTTGCGAATCTGAACACCCCGTTCTTGCAGGGCAACGATGGCAGGCTTCTGGGCCGAGCGAGGGCGAACAAGAGCATGGACTTCCTATAAGGGCGAGAGGCACGCAATTAGAACCAGGGTCGGAAGCATAAGGCAGGTGATGAACGTGGACAGCATACAAAGTTAGGCTGTTCGAGCAATCCATTCGCAATGGAACCACCAGTTTCACCAGCTGCTCCGACGAGCAGGACCTTAGTTCGAGACATGGTGAATAAAGCGAGTGGCGATTAATCTAGGGATATTTGGAGGTCGACGGGGAGATGTGGTACTGGTGATAATGGTGGTAGTTTCCGAGATAGTATAGGGATGGTTGTACGGCTAGTTAGAGGATGGAGGGAAGACAGGTTTAAGAGGAAGGGAAAAGGAACCTGGAAGAGATTCCCAGTTTGGTTCCTTGCTTATGTATTTCAAGCGAAGCGTTGACGTTTTCCTAGCGGAATGGAGGGTCAGTCGACATTATAAAGGCGGGCGTCCCACTCTGAGGATGGCCACTGGCACTACCGGTAATCTACCCACTTTTCGTCTTATCCAGAAGTGGCCAGCAGTGGGTCGATTGTGGGTGTTTAACTCCCTAACTACGAAATGCGGCCCCCCCTCCCCTCCCTTAAAGGTGCATGTAATGACCTGGGGACGGAGGGGAAAGGACCGGATGCTATTTTGGAGAAGCAGCCTTCTACAGTACATGTTCTACTGTACAGTACCTAACCAGCAGCCTTTTTTTGTGTGTGGTTGCTGTATATTTTCCATCAGATGCTTTTCTTTATTATCTTACTTTTTTTTTCTTGATTAAGACGATTTGAATGTGGTGTTCTCCCGCAGTAGCTAGTTCATTAACAGTTAGTAAATTAGGCAAATGGGCTTGTAGCCTTAGTCAGAAAGAGAGAGGAAAGGCAGGCAAGCAAGCAAGCCCTGAGCAGGTCGCACCACGCAGACAAACAGACAGACAGACAGGAAGAGGGACGGACGGGCAGAGAACGTGTGAACTCGCCGCTGCGGCTCGCAGTCAGTGGCTCGGGGGGGAATTACACCTATTTTGATCATTACGTCACTTCACCTTACCTACTCCGTAGTTACTCCATAACTGGCTACGGCTTCCCGGGCAGGGGACTTTGCCCAGGGCTGGCTGACTGGTGACGATAACTGGGGTTTCCGGCTGGGCTACGTATTGGGTTGGTCTCACTTCTTTTCTCTTCCCTCCCTCCTTTTTTTTTCTCTATTTTCCAATAATGATTCAGTGCGTTCATCATCATTCCACCACCATGAGAACCATCCATTGAGAACGGCTACACCTCTCCCACTCTCTCACTACCACACTCCCACTAAGGACCACGTAGTTGTTTCTAGCCTCCCTGTTGAAACCACCACAGTCTCGACCATTTACCTAGCCTATTCAATAGTTCCCAGCACGTTCCATTCATATGAGTTCATTTCCCTATTCAACCGCGCATAATGCGGGGAGGAAAGAATCTTTCGTCTTTCTCCCCCTCCGCCCCCCC